CAGTGAATAAGGCGAATATATACACGGGTTTGGTGTTTTAATTCCAACCGCCGTCAAACCAGCCACTCGTTTAATCCATTTTACCTCAAATAATTTATTTACAATCCTTCTGCTGTTAATAACGCATATTTACCGTCGTGTGTATGTGTTTGTAATACGGTTGATTCAGTAGAGACACAAAGGGAAATGCCGTGCGCTAACGTGCTAACACTACCAGTGCATTCTGAAACATTATTAAATCAATATAATTTAATTGATTTTATCATTATTTCGTCGTTTCTCGTCAGAAGCAGTGTTGCAGTAGCCGGTAATCGTAGATTGGGTCGTGCTTTAGCTCATTAGCTGCTCTAATCCAGTCTTTAAGGAAGAGCGCTGTGTATATGCAAGACACGGGCTGTGTTTCAAAAGCCTAGGGAGCTGACTACCCAGACAACCCGTTTTGGCGTCGTATGATCCCAAATATGATGCGGATGTGATGCTCTAACGCGCTCTAGGTAGGCGACTCACTAGGTTTTGAGACGCAGGTTGTGGTGTGTAAACATAATATTCATGGTGAGCTGTGATTTCCATATTTTAGGTTGATATGAATGACAGCATATGCCTCAATCTTCAACTGTGTAGGGCTTTTAGTGATATAGCTGGAGATGAGTTGCAAAAATATTGGATTGTATGAAATGTCTTAGACCACCAAGTTTTGGGCCTATATTGAGAGATTATCTCAATATAATGAAGTTTTTATGATTTGTCTTGTGTATAATGTCTGTAATATTTAAAACTCAAAATAATTAATATTCTAAACATTTTTTTAAATGTATGTAATATACTTTATATGTAATATAATATTTAATGTTTTTAGTACATTTATATATTTGTTTAAATTATATTTAAACAAGTCAATTATATTATAATCAGATTACTTAAAGTATTTTATACTTAAAATATTACTATTTAACATGCACACATATTAGATTAAATCATGCTTTTACAATATTCTATATATTACAATATTACAATTGTTATGCAGTATCATTTATTTGTTTTATATATGTATTACTATTTAACATGAATATGCACACACATACACACACATATATATATATATATATATATA